TTACTCAGCCCAGATGCCAGCGTAGTTTGAAACTCATTCAGAGCACCCGACATCGCCAGCTGGCTGGTATCAATGCGCTCAGAGCGATGTTGCGGACGTCCGCCGAAATGCACCCGCAGGTCAGCACACACAAGAGCGTGATCGGAGTCCACGCTGGTGCTCCAAATCGAGCGACTCTTTTGGACACAGCTTCTCCAGCGGTAACTAATCGCGATGTGACCGATTTACGTCCATGTTTGGTCTGAGGCTGGTGGGTGCCAAGTCACTCTTCTGTGGGTGCTGTACCGAAAGTTAGTGCTGGCGAGAAAGAGACGAGCACCTTCGCACAGGTGTAGCAACCGCTCACCATTATCATTACGGGAGCCTACACCATGTTGGCCGCCCAGATGAAGCTCATCAGAGGACAATTTTCCGACTTACGCGTTTAGATCACCAGCAAGCACCACAGTATCCGTGCTTCTGTAACGAAGATCGTTAAGTTGGTGATAGAAAGTATCTTTCACCGAGTCAGGGCTACAGTTTGTGGGGGCGTAAGCCGCAATGACAAACAGGCACCGTTTGTCCCTGCGCGACTTCGAAGCCTGGAAGGAGCCAGCCAACCTAACGGCGCACATCCGGCTGTTGACTGGGATCCAGTCGATCAGGGCAGCTTCAGCCCGGGGACTCCAAACAATGCGGTTATCAGCCTGACCCGTATTTGAAGTTGCATCATCGCCAGACAGGCACCATGAGAATGTACCGTCAGTGTCGCATGTGAGGGACCGCAGAGTAAGCAGGAAGCTCGAATCTTGCAGGCGGGTTTCCGATAAACAGGAAATATCCATCGAGTGGGTCTCGTGTGTTCGGACGAATGCTGCCTGTTGGCTAATCTGTAGCAAACTGCACACGTTGAGGCATACCAGTCTTAGCGAGGATCGAGGACTCCAAAGGGAAACGGATGGACTGACGTTGTGCGCTTGGTTGTACATGGACTTGTCGACTGGATTGGAGCGACGCCGTGCGATTGTGTGTGAGTTGAAACTAGAAGACAAGCGACTATTCAAGCAAAGTGGGAGATTGAAAACGGGGGGATGAAAGTGAAGTTGCAACGGGACGATACGGATGAAAAGGCGCAAGAGGGTGAGTAAGAAGGTGGGAAGGCCTGAGCAGTAGCATCCAAACCCCTATCCACCCTGCTCGATGCAGCAGATGGGGCGTCGTTTATTATCCTCTGCGACGGCCAGAACATCAAGTGATTGTTAGAAGGAAAGGTCATGGTGTATTGCGTGGACAGGATACTGTCAGTTTGCCTAGGCATAGACAGGAGAACGATTAGGGTTCTCAACCAAAGCCTTTGGTTCAAAAACCTTATCAACCAGATCAGCCACAATCCGTATCTCACATCGTCGAGATATAAACAGGTTTTTTCGTTTACCTTTCTATCCTTTAGATTCGTCTTGCAATATTAAATATTTCTTCCACTTTCCCGAGAGCAACAACCCAGAAGCAGATCACAATTATCAGTGCTCTGCGATAGCAATTGCTGTATTTTACGAACACAAACAACTGTCGGATAAACCTGTAGACTGTTTTCAGAACCCCCTCGCATATCGATAATCCGAACAACCCATCTATTACGGCGATTCCACCGCACAATTTGATCGAGAAATCTGTCGGCCTTTCTTGACGTTACATACAGCAATTTCTTTTTCTTATCATCATTACCGTGCATACCTATCTGCCACCTCATATTCTATATTCTTCTTTACTCCATTGTTGGCCACGACTGGGTCGATCTCCTGAGGTGACAGATTTTAGCTTCCAAACTACTAGATGAACCCATGTGAGGCAAGATGCCATAGACACTCTGACGCTTAATAAAAGTACTTGACTCAAAAACTAATTGATGGTACGAGCTATATGACCTAACTGTATATATATATATATATATATATATATATATATATAAATTTGTATATTTACCGACGGACGGTACACGGCCCCATAAGTGGGAGCGATCATGTGTATAGTGAACACGTTTCATAACATTAACTAAAAGTTTACTAATAGCATTTCGAATCATGTTTACTTTTCCTTGAGTCCTAGACCCGCGCAACTCATATGTAAAAGTTACGGATGTTTGTATCGTTAGGAGTAGATAATAAACGAAGGGACTATTAGGCTGCAAAGACACAGGATTTGGTATGGTATGTAATGATATGTAGTGGGTAAGCTAGCTGTAAGCTATTATCAAATGTTTTTTATACCAACTTCTGTCAGTGTTTCTAGTGTTTGCTGTGAGTCAAATATTTTCAGAGCATTTGGTATAGTGAGGAAGGTCTGAAGGAGATTTCGAAAGGTGACATGGCTTGTACACATGCGTATCTGTAGGGGTAGTTTGTTCCACAAATAAGTGTATCTCACTAAGAAGAAATTCGATCGAATTTTATGACTTGAAAGGTTTGTACGTATCAAGTAGCCGCCATTACGTGTGGGGTAGACTGCAGTCTTCCGCAGTTCAAGTGCGGTGCTGTCTGCGTAAATTCGTTTGTTTATAATGTTGTAGAAGAGAACGAGGTTGTTCTTTAAGCGTCTCAGCCAAAGTGGATCCAGCTGCAGTTTTCGACAGCGATCATAATAAGTCAGGTTTGAGCAGCGTCCCATGAGAAGTTTGGTAAATGATCGTTGGACATTTTCTAGAGCCGTTCTGTCTTTCTTTCTCAATTGGCTGTGAAGGATAGTATAATACTCCAGAGTCGGTCGTACAATTGTCTTGAATGATTCAAGTCGTACTTCAGGTAGGGAGAAAGTTCTGGTGATATATCCGCATAGCTGCCTCGCTTTCGCAACTTGATAAAGAACATGTTCGGAGAAATTGAAAGAGTTGGAGTACCTAATTCCTAAGTCCCGAACTGACTCAGACGTTGGGATCACGTTTCCGGCAAGTATAATGGAGCCTTCTGGGATGCGGCATCTGTACCCAAGTACTTGGGATTTCACTGCAGAGAACTTCATTAATAAGCGCTCACTAGCTATAGTTAGTGCGGATAGGTCTTCACAGATGTTTCTCAAACACATATGTAGTTGATCCGGATGAAATGAGTAAACCAGTTTGACATCATCTGCAAACAGAAATGGATGTCCATGTTTGATTGGGTCACATATATTGTTTACATAGATTAAGAAAAGTAGCGGTACGAGCACACTTCCCTGGAAGACACCGCTGGTTATTGGCTTCGGTGTAGAATGTTGCTGACCGATTTTAACGACCTGAGTTCGATCGTTTAGGTATGAGTCGAACCAGTTAAGCAGCGGATTTCCAATTCCACATGACTCTAGAGCAGACAGCAGTGGCTGGTGTGGCACGCGGTCGAAAGCCTTTTGCATATATATATATATATATATATATATATATATATATATATATATATATATATATATATACTTACAAAGCCCTAAACATGAGTACATTTGGTGATCGCAAACCTGTTTTAAAGCCACACCAACACGGTCAGAACAGACATGGAAATGCGGGCAAAACCTTTGGAGGGACTAACCTGCATGAAAGCAGGTCCCCTGGAGACGAATCTACTGTTGACCGTATTACTTTATCAGAACATTGAAGTTTATCTTCATTTATTATTATTAATATTATTATTATCATCAACTAATCCATCTATTTGAAAGATGCAACCGATTAATCAGCCCCACAAAATAGTTTAGGTACTGTTCTGAAAAAGAACTCGAAGATATATTGTCCGTCCCAAACGATCGCTTTGTACATAATGACCAGACCAATCTGTTGAACTGGGCCTCGCACCGTCGAGGAATTTACCATTTATTTATTTATTTATCTTTGACGACAGAAAGGGGTTCCCCTCCGTTTGAAAGACCTTGTTTATAAGACCACATTGAGGACTGTCCTACTTTATGGGAGTGAGGCTTGATCCCTTCGGTCTGAAGATTTGAGACACCTTCAACTCTTTGATCATCATTGTCTGCGGAGCATTGCTGGTGTCAGATGGCACCAGCGTGTCCGTAGCGATGATGTACATAGGCGAATACTTGGAAGTGAATATCAGACTTGTTCTTTAGAACAACTGGTAACATGGAATGAATAGCGTTGGCTTAGGCACGTACTACGTATGCCCGGTCACTGTTTACTGAGGAGCGCCTTGTTTAGTCTGCCAGATGTATGGTGGCCCTAGGCTCGTGGTGGACAAAAGTTGACTTGGCAGCGGGAAATGAAGTCACTGACGACCAAACTGAGTGACGTTGATCAGTCTCGCCTTCCGGGCTGGAGTCCACGCGAATCGCCTTGTACTCTTCTCGAGACTTTACAGGACATGGCTCGCAGTCGGCACCAGTGGCGCGTCTATCGCCGTCTTGTAGTCGGACTGCCTGTTTAATGTGTATTCGGTGCCGAGTTATGTGCGGGGTAATGGCTGATTATGACGCGGGACAATGAAAGTCGCCTTTTCTTTTCACGATAGCCAGCTGTTTGTGATGTCATTGTTGACAGGATGTAGCCGCCTTGACCCTGAGCGTTTTCTTAAGGCATTAAGATTTTCCGTAGGTCGTTATGGTTTTATGGCAGCGAAGCTGGCTGATGTACTGCTGTTGATGAATAATAATTCTAATATGCTTCTCCTTATCAGATCCATTTTTCTACCATGATCCTTACTCCTTGAGACTATCCATCCCTTCCGATATATGCAGCTTTTTCAACTTGTCAACCATAAACTGTTTTGGTCCGATTTTCTCGCACCTCTTATGTTTGGAATACTTTGTGGCCTTTTATTTGCCTTCGCGTAAGCCACACGGCTACGCTCTTACTGCGCCCCAGCAAGTTTGCGACCCACCTCTTTAGCAGACTTACGACGTATTTGCAATTGTTCACACCCACACACCCTCATGCCTTGCTCCATTGATAGGGTAGCCTCATTTTTCGTAATGACCTGATTACGTCTCCTCTCCAGTGTCAGTGTGCATTTGTATGTACCGCCCAATCCACTTTTCAGGTCAATATGTGTTCTGGCACTCTTCCGCTCACATTCTTGGCGAAGCGATGGAGCAAGTGTTCGGTGGACACCTATGCTACGGACCTCCGATAGAGACTGGTTTCTACTACGACATGTGGTTACCAGAGTGAGTTGTTTCTGCTCGTACATCACTTACTTGCTGCTCTTTCCAAATGAAATACACTCAAAGTGGATATTTCGTTATTCTCATTAATAATTGACTTTTCTGTCATGCCGACGTTCGCAATAATTTGCTTATTCGTTCCTCATTCTCCCGTTGGAATTAGGTTTTTCCCATTTTTATGCTTTTTGCTGCTATTTATTCGGCGACCTTTAGAAGAGGAAGGTCAAACCGCCAGTTTACATGCTTCGTACGACCCTTCACAATCACACTTGCGGCCACACACACACACACACGTTGGATAGTGTTGTATGGTTGGCGACTTCCTCTTCCGCATTTGCCTGTCACTACGGCCACCAACCAAAGGACGTCTGCGCCTAAAGAGACCACTGTAGCTTGCGCCGCACCACCCATAGCTTCATCCACACATCCCATATCCGGTATAAACCCGAAGGAATAAGACTGGGAGGCACGTAGATGGGAACCAGGTTTCATCAACGGAGCCGGCCCACACTCCTTCAAAGGTAAACACAAGCATGCTGTATTTGCGGAATCGAGAGCACACAAGGCGATGGTTAGGCCGTAGCCCGCTCCACACACAAACCATCTTCATAGAACCACTCTTTGGACTTAAAACTTCTTTGGCCTGGGCAACCGGGTAGTATCACGCCCACTGACGAAGCATGGATGGATTACACTACTGCTTTCCCTCTTGCTATATCTATTGGCTTCACTGTCTGCTGCTCAACATCTGCTCACAGATCGTCCCACCTCCCTTTCCTCAACTTCACTTATGTCTTCCCTGGTCACCGTCAACAACAGCTCACCGGTCGTATCCAACAGAGTTCTGAGCCCGGTGGTCACAACATCCTCCCATTCAACCGAAGCCCAAGCTTTCCTTCTTCCTGGTTCTTCATTCGGCCTTGTAGCGTTCAATGTGCTCACTATGATACAAATCGGACGACAAACATGTCTGGCCCGCACCCTTAAGACACTCTCGGGGGACATATGTTGCCTTTCCGAAACCAGGTTGCAAGACGCCGGTACCGTCATCAGAATGACATCTTCGGCAAACCCTTGTGCCTTACCGGAGACCCAGAGACCACCGCTTCTGACCAAACTGGGGTTGGGGTTGCACTGAGTCACAGGGCTAAATCAGCTCTGCTTGACTGGATCCCAGTCAACAGTCGGCTATTTACAATCACGAGATTCATGTAAATTAAGTAAGCGTCGAGATGTTACGCGTGCCTTGTTTGTCATCTTCGTCTACGCTCCTACAGACGGCAGCCCGGATGCAATCATGGACTGCTTTTACCAACAGCTACCTGAGCTGCGTTCCGCTAAAATGTGTGACATTGTCATTCTTGCCGAAGATTTTAACGCACGAGTGGGCCGCCTGCCTCCAAGCGAGCACCATCTTGGGTTAGTTTTTACCTCGGTCGCAGCAGATCAGACAATGGAAAGAAACTGCTAACTCTGTTCTGATCATCGCTTGTTTCTTTCGAGTACAAGTTTTCGTCATTCGAAAAGCAGACTGCTACCTGGCCTCCGCCTTCTCAAACACAAGAGTGATCCCAGCTTGACCACCTAACAATAAGCTACAGATGGCGCGGAAGCATAACAGACTGCCGATCGTATTGGTCAACTTTTCCGCACTCCAATCACGCACTGGTTCGCGCCAAAGTTTGCATGCGTTTCGGAAGATCATCCAGACTTACGCACTACCGATCGAACATCGAAAATCTGCAACATCTTGCGACGATAGCCAAGTACCAGACTGTCAACACTACTTACTTCGTCCTCTAACAGTGGTCTCAATTCGCAATGAATGCGCATTAAAGACGCCTTACTATCGCAGTGAGGCTGGACCTTATCGTGGTGCGATGGTTTGCGTGTTTCAGGGATCCATTGAGCTATACTGGGTGGTGCATTTTTTGCACATTCAGAGTCACTCATACCAGATTGGTCAATGATTAGAGGCCAGACAAACTGCCTCCTGTCCTCCAGGTTGGGGGGTTGGAATGAGGGTGGCTCCTTATTCCTTGAAACGGACTCCTTGTAGCCCACCACCAAACCCGCTGCCTTGCGGTCAGGTTTTTGAACCAAAGACTTTGGTTGAGAACCCGAATCGTTCTCCTGTCTAGGCCTGGGCAACCTGACAATATCCCGCCCACGCAATACAATGAATTTCTCTCCAAACTGTTTCTTGATGCTCTGGCCACCGCAGAGGATAATCAACGGTGCCCTATCTGCTGCATCGAGCAGGGTGGATAGGGGTTTGGATGCTACTGCTCAAGCCTTCCCGTATTCTTATTCCTCATCTTATGCTTTTTCTCCCTTATGGTCCCGTTCCAACATCACTTTTATCCCCTAAGTTTTCAACCCCCGATTCTTGGCACTCTCCCAACATGCTTTGCTAGTCGTTTATCTTCTAATTTCAACTCACATGTGAACGCGGAGCGTCATTCCTCTCCTGTCGACAATCCCATGTCTAACCAAGCGGCTAAGCCCAGTTCTCCGACTTCCATTTGGAACCCTCGATCCTCCTTCAGATTGGTATGTCTCAATGTACGCACAATGCTACAGATCGGTCAACAGGCAGCACTTGCCTGAACATTGGAGACCCTCTCGATCGATATCTGCTGCTTATCAGAGACTCGCCCGCAAGACTCGAGCTCTGTGCTCACTCTGCGATCCCGTTCAGGTGACACCAGCAGTATTTTCTCATTGCGCCTATCCGGTGACGATGCAGCTTCGATCACCGGCCAAGCTGGTTTTGACATTGCCCTGAGTCTCCGGACTGAAGCTTCTCTTGTTGATTGGATTCCAATCAGTAGCCGGTTGTGTGCGGTCCGATTGGCTGGCTCGTTCAAAAGTTCAAAGTCGCGCGGGAGTAACAGGTGTCTATTCATCATCGCTGCCTATGCGCCCACAAACTCTAGCGGTGATTCGGTAAAAGACGACTTCTACCACCAATTGAACGAACTCATTCGCCACAGAAGAAACTCGGATACTGTTGTGCTGCCTGGGGATCTGAACGTTCAAGTTGGAAGTTTATTCACTGATGAACTGCATCTGGGCGGTCAGCATGGTGTAGACTTCCGTAATTATAACAGTGAGCGGTTACTTCATTGGTGTGAAGATACTCGCTTATTTTTTGCGAGCACTAATTTCCGACACAGCACCTGCCGGAGGGTGACTTGGCGCCCACCAGCCCCGAACCAACCATGGAGGCAAATTGATCACATTGCGAACACAGTGAAACTCGCAAAGAGCTTCGGGCAAAACTTCGTGCTAGCCTGGAGAGAGACCGCGAATCCTGGTGGTCTCATCGTGCTTCAGGGATGGAAATGGCCACTGCTCTTGCTAACCATCACAAGTTATTCCGTCTGATACGGTAAACGAGCAACAAAAGACCTGCTGTTAGTGGAACTATACGTGACGAGAGTGGACGGCCTATCAACAACTTGCCAAAATGCTTGAAGCATTGGGTTGAGCACTTTGAAGGGCAACTTAATCGGTCGGATTGGTCAAGTTTCTCACCGGCCACTGACATCCCCGCTTCCTGGGCTGTTTCTTTGGATTCGCCCTCTCGCTCAGAAGTGGAACGTAAGGTCGCACAGTTGAAGGTAAATAAAGCCGCAGGACCAGGTGATCTTCCTCCAGTCCTCTTCAAATTCGAAGGGACCTACTCCGGTGGATGAGTTACTAATAAAACTGTGGGAGCTGGAAACTGTCCCAACCGACTGGAGCCGCTCCATCATAGTCCCAATATTCAAGGGTGGCTCACGATCGGAATGCGGCAACCATAGAGGAATCAGTCTGATCCCCATCACCTCCAAATAACTTGCCTCTGTCATCCTTCACAGACTGACTGGCACTCGTGAAAGTCATATTCGTGAAGAGCAAGTCGGGTTTCGTCGAGGTCGTGGCTGCATTGACCATATCTTCACTTTGCGTCAGTTGTTGGAGCACCGTCACATATATTGGCGGCCCACCGTTGTTGTGTTCCTCGATATCAAAGGTGCATTCGCTTCGGTGGGTAGACGTGCACTTTAGGACTGTCTATTCAAAAAGGTGTATTTGAGAAATATGTGAATATTATCCGAGCATTATACGCGCGTAGCTCAGACAGAGTGAGGGCTTGCGGCCAGTTGTTGTCGCGCTTTATTATCTCCAGCGGTTTGAGACAAGAATGCTCGCTGTCACCTTTCCTCTTCAACTCCGCTATTGATGAAGTCATGAGAATCGCGTTCACAGGACACGACTTAGAAGGTATGGATCTGCTCGCAGGAGAACGACTTCTTGACTTGGAGTATGCTGACGATATTACCCTCATCTGTGACAGCTCACAAACATGCCAAGCAGCACTGGACAGATTAGCACTGGCAGTCCGTCAAAACTTCAGGCTTTGCTTCGCACCCTCGAAATGCAAAGGGTTCTTCCAGAATTTGCCTGGACTGCCTTTTGCGCTGACCCTTGGTGGGGATCACCTAGAAGTCGTTCAACAATTCAACTACCTGAGAAGGTGTATCAGCGCCCGTGTGATTGAAGATGAGATGAAGAACCGAATATCAAATGCGCGAATTGCTTTTGCTCATCTTCGCCACTTATGGCGCCGGCGCGATATCACTCTCGCCCTGAAGGATAGAGTGTACAATGCAGCGGTGCGTTTGACCCTACTGTACAGTTGTGAAACCTGGCCCCTTAAAGCAACGGACATAAAGAGGCTAGTTACGTTCGACCACCGGTGCCTTCGCAGTTTGGCTCACATCTGGCGGGAACACAGGGTAAGTGACGAGCGTGTTCGATGCCTTGTTTACGTCACAGGAAATGAACCGTTCAACACCGTTATTTCACGTACCGGGTTCCGATGTCTCGGCCACGAGTTACGCATGCCAGCCCACCGACTCCCGCGAGGTGCGTTGTTTGCACGCCGGGGGTGTGGATGGAAGAAGAGGGGTGGCCAAGCGATGACTTTGTCGAGAGGGATGAAGGCCTTCACT